TGAGAAGGCAGCTGTGCTCACACTCATCCGGGAGGAGGTAAAAAGTGGGGGCTGCTCTGCAGGGGGGAAGGGGGGTGGGCACAACGGGTCTGCAGGTGGAGCAAGGTCTCATTCTGCTGCTCCCCAGATAATCACAAAGGAGATCGAAGCCAGTGAGTGGAAGAAGAAGTACGAGGAGAGTCGTCAGGAGGTCCTGGAGATGAGGTGGGATCCCACCCCGGTGGGATGCTGTGCTCAATGTTTCCCCCTGGTGGGCTGTGAGGCCGTGATGGGGTGACACAGTTCCCCTTTGCTGGGATGGCACAAGTCTCAAGGCATGTCTGCTTTGTGCCTGTGCTGCGTTGAGCCTGCAGTTTGTTTGTGGCAGGGATGAAATCCCATGAACTGCGGCTGGAGGGGGGTCTGGGAGCAGCAGCGGGGGGTTCCCAGGCTGTTACAGCACTGGGGCCCAGGGCTGTGTGCTGGAGCAGAGCTGTGGGCATTTATGCCTGCAGAAACTGCTGTTTCCTACCTGCTTTTGTTCTCATTTTGTTGCAGGAAAATTGTGGCTGAGTACGAGAAAACCATTGCCCAGATGATAGGTGAGGTCCCAGTGCTGCAGGGCAGGGCGGTGCTGTCTGTGCTCAGTCACTGCATCCTTCTTTGTTCCCCTCACAGAGGATGAGCAGAGGACAAATATGACCTCCCAAAAGAACCTGCAGCAGCTCACCATGGAGAAGGAGCAGGCGTTGGCAGATCTCAACTCGGTGGAGAGGTCCCTGTCAGATCTGTTCAGGAGATATGAAAACCTGAAGGGTGTCCTGGAAGGCTTTAAGAAGGTCCTGATCCCGGTGTTCTCCCCATCCCTGTGGCTGTGGGGTGCATTGCCCCCACCCTGTCCTGTGCAGATCTGTGGTGGCATCAGAGCAGCACGTTGTGCTCTGCCCCAGTGCAGATGGCTGTACTTTGTTTTCCAGAACGAAGAAGCCCTGAAGAAGTGTGCTCAGGATTATTTAAACCGTGTCAAGCAAGAGGAGCAGCGATACCAGGCCCTGAAGGTCCACGCAGAGGAGAAGTTGGACAAGTAAGAGCTGGGAGGTGCAGGAGGATGGGCAGCAGATGCCTGGCCCTGAGTAATGAGCAGTCACCTCCGTACAGCAGGAGGAAAATCACCTCTGATGCGTGCCATTCTGTGAGGTCCCTTCCAACCCTGGCCATTCTGTGATGTTGCAGAGCTCCCACCCCATCACCTGCAGAGCACCCAACCCGTAACTGTGGTCCCATTTCTCCCCATGCAGAGCCAACGAGGAGATCGCCCAGGTGCGAACCAAGGCCAAAGCAGAGAGCGCAGCTCTGCATGCGGGGCTGCGAAAGGAGCAGATGAAAGTGGAGTCCCTGGAGAGAGCCCTGCAGCAGAAGGTAACGTGCCCACATTCAGCACACAGGTGATGCTCTGTGCTTCCAATTCGATGCCCTGCTGATGCTGGAGCTGTGTCCTATGAGTTTTTGGGACCGGAAAGTGTCCCAAAGGATCAGGGGAATGGGATCATAAGGGGAATGAGGAAGGATGAGCCATGGATCTGCTTCCCTTCCAGAACCAGGAGATCGAGGAGCTGACCAAGATCTGCGACGAGCTGATTGCAAAGCTGGGCAGGGCAGACTGAGCTCACCGCCCCAGCGCTCCGCACCCGGCTGCTTTTCTCCTACCTTCGAGCACTTTGCCTTATTATTACCCCCGGAGCGACCCTGCCGAAAGCACAGCGTGGCTGCTGCACCCCCAGGTGTGAGGGCAGCCATCCCCACGTGTTGTCACTGCCCTCACGTGCTGCATCTCACAGCCCCAAGGCACACGTGGTGCGTTGTTCAGAGCGCTGGGGAAGGGGCTCTGCTCGGAGCTCCTTTCCCCACTCGGCACGGCGAGGCACAGAGCAGCAGTCACTCTCTGGGTCTTGCTCTGCTGTCACCAATTCCCCTGCAGCACTGCATAATAAGGGAAGCAAACAAAGCCGGCCTTTACAAAGGCAGATCCAGGCAGCGTTTCCACGCGGGCTGCCTGCTGCTTTTTGGAGGTGGTTACCTCTTGGTGAGCCCAGAAGAAGTGCTGAGGCTGAGGCTCCTTCCCTCACCACTCACAGACAGCCCTGAGGTGTCAGATAAGGGAAATAAACGCTGTTGGACTGTTTCCTACCTAGCCTAGCTAAAACCTTAGCAAACCTTTTTGCTGCTACCTTTTTGTAAAAGAATGGAGCTGTCCTCCTTCTATTTTCTAACCCCTGTGTTCCGCATGCAGTGCAGACATCTGTTAAAGCAGAGCCATACACCGGAGATATATTTTATTATGTATAGAAAGGATTTATGACACGGGCACATGCAGGGGTCCCCACCCGCTCCCACCCACCCAAAAAGGGGCTGATGGCTGCTGCTGTGCCCCTGCAGGGTTGTGTTGAACGTTCACTGTTTTGCACAGCTGACAGAAAGGAAAAATCCTTTTTTTTCACCCTCTTTTCTTTCCACTGCTGGGGAGCCAAAGTGCCAACCAACCGCATCCCACTGCAGCACGGCTCCCCTCCCCAGCACCGGGGTGGCTGCAGGCTGGCACCACTCTCTTCTCTTATCCTCCCACTCGTTGTGCTCTATAGCAGCCCTCCCAGCCCCAACGTGGCTGTGGGGTGGCTGTGGCATCCAGGAGCGATGCCAGCAGCACAGCCAGCTCAAAAATCCTTGGTGATGCACACGCGTTGCTTCCCAAAACCACGCGGAGCACCCGGAGCGCTGAGCTCCTCCTGCAGCACTGAGCTGTGGGGAGGCAGAGCAGGGATGTGACGTGGCAGCATCCTCACACTGCTCTGCTCTGCTGTCCCACGGCCACTCTGCTGCTGCCTCCATCTGTGCCTCTCAGCACGCACGTACAATCTGGGCAAAGATTCCTAAGGAATGATTTATTAACTATAATATGGTTATAGTTGCACATATATAAATATATGCATACAGGCCGTAGTTATCTATAACAGAAGGCGTATTTTAAGCTCACTGCTGCACCCCCCCAGCGCTGCAGCACGGCTGGGGGTCACCTTTCCTGCAGCAGCAGTGATGTGCTGTGATGCTGCGATGCCCCTTTCAGCAGCAGAGTGCCCGTGAGCGCGGCGTTGCTGTGTGTAGATCTTCTGTCTGCAGTGAAGTGCCAATGAGTGCCCACCCTGATTGCTCTCTGCTTCCACTGCATCCCTCCATCCTCCCCCCTTTGTGCTGACTACTACCAGGACCGCTTTGTACACCACACATCACTGCCATCAGCATCGATTTTGTACGTGCCGTTATTTCCCTTTTATATGTCAGGTAAATATTTGTAAGAGTTATACTCACACAAAGGAGATTATGATGATGATTACTAATATATTTTTTTTTTTCCTTCCATATTTCATTGCCTGAGTAAAAATAGTGTTTATCACTCTTGAAAGGTTTCGTGCTGTTTGTAAGGCTGGTGAGGGGCTTGGGAGGATTTATGTCATGGGAAGGGCCTGATTCTGCCTCATGGGTGTGGATGGGGTTGGGGTTGGGACTGGGGCTGGGTAAGGGTTAGAGGAGCAGAGTGCAGCCCTGGGGATGGATTTGGGGCTGGGTTATGGGTAGAGGAGCAGAGAGCAGCCCTGGGGATGAATTTGGGGCTGGGTTATGGGTAGAGGAGCAGAGTGCAGCCCTGGGGATGGATTTTGGGCTGGGTTAAGGGTAGAGGAGCAGAGAGCAGCCCTGGGGATGGATTTGGGGCTGAGTTATGGGTAGAGGAGCAGAGTGTAGCCTTGGGGATGGATTTGGGGCTGGGTTAAGGGTAGAGGAGCAGAGAGCAGCCCTGGGGATGGATTTGGGGCTGAGTTATGGGTAGAGGAGCAGAGTGTAGCCTTGGGGATGGATTTGGGGCTGGGTTAAGGGTAGAGGAGCTGAGCAGAGCCCTGGGGATGGATTGGGGCTGCGCTGTGCCCATTGCCGTGCCCATTGCAGTGCCCATTGCTGCCCCTGGGCAGCCCCTGCCCTTGGAGCTGCGTCCCCTCCCAGCTCAGGTGGCATTAGGACGGGCTGTTAAGTGCGTTATCCTCAGCCCATAGATCCAATCGCCCAAGCAGATTACCGTTAAAACCTCGGGACAAAAGAAAGGCTATGTGCCCCGAGCGCGCACTGCTGACCATGTTGCCCCTGAAGACCCTCCTGGCTCTGACCATCGTCACCTCCCTGGCGCGGGATGGTAAGTGACTGCGGCTGCCGTCCCTGCAGGAGAGTGTGAGGAGGGGAGGAACAGTCCCTGCCCCGGTGCAGGACCGAGGAGCAACCAGCGCTGCTCCCCGCCTGCCGGCAATGGGTGCGCGGTGCCAGCAGGCTGAAGCGCGGGGGGAAGCCGGGGATGCACTCAGCTCGCTCTGATGTTGGGATCTTCGCACCGAGGGGGTGATGAAATAAACGCAGCCGCCGTTGTAGAGCAGGGAAGTGAGAGGCGTGCGGGTCCGTTCCCTTCACACGTGGGGTTGTTTGTTTTTTTCCTGTCCACGAAAGGAGGCAGCAATTCGTGCTCCGCGCTGCACAACGCGCTGAGCGGGCGCTGCGTGCCGCGAGATGGCTCTGCTCGTCCAGCAAAACGGGCGGACGTTTTCCTCCCGAAATAACCATTAATTCAACCATCGCTGTAAAAACCGAGCGGTCCTCCTGATGGCCCGGCTCGGGTGAGAGCGGCTCTTCGGGGCTTTTCGGAGTTGCTCTGTCCGCGTGTATTCAAAGCAGCGTTGTTATTTCAGGGCTCTCACTGTCAGACAGAGACAGCGGCGCTTTCACATTTGCTCAGGCGGTTCCTGAGCTTAGTGGGACCTCCGCAGCCGCGCAGGGTCGGAGTTCCTCCACCCGCACAGAGCCCGGGTTCCTTGCGAGCTCCTCTGGGTGGCACAGCTGTGACATTTCCACCCATCACCCCTTTGCCAGCGCCGTGCGGTGCCCCTGAGCTGTGCCGATGGGCGCAGTTCCGTGCAGCGCATCGCGCTGGGGAAGCAGCCTGCGTGGCACAGCGTGCACTGAAACCTCTCCTGCGGTGCGGACGAACCCCTCCTCCACTCATTACAATTAAAATCGGCGCAAAAAAGAAGAAGGTTGAAGGTTTTACGCCTCTTTGAGCCGCGCCTGGGAGAGAGCTGCACCCCCGTGGTGCCGGCAGCGCGCAGCAGGCGGAGGCTCAGCACCGCCTCACCGCTCCTCCCCTTGCGCAGGTGCAGCGCTGAGATGCCACAAATGCGTCGCATCCAACGAGAACGACTGCAACAAGCAGGGCTCGCACAGCTGCCCTCAGTACGCGGACGCCTGCTCCACCATCACTGCGCCCAGTAAGTCCGTGCCAGGGCTGCAAAGCTGCCACCACATCCTGCTGCAGTTCGGTTTTAGAGCAGGAGGGGTTGCGTGTGCTCTTAACCTTGTGTGCTCCGCCTTCCTTTGCAGACAGCATCATCAAGTCCTGCTCCTACAAGTCCTTTTGTGACCAGGCACGGCGCAGCTCCGGGGGAGCCACCCTGCACTGCTGCTTCGGCGACGACTGCAATGGGCCGCGGGGCTCACGCAGCTCTGGGGCAGCCACGATGCCACAGCTTCCCTGCCTGCTGGCTGCAGGGCTGGCAGGGACGCTGCTGCTGGGTGTGCCGTGATGGGCACAGCACGGCCAGGGGGTGGCACGGCCATGGGGGTGGCACAGCATAGCATCTCAGTGCAGTAGTGCAAGCCTTGCTCACCAGGAGCACGGCACGTAGAGACGCTCAAATAAAGGCTGAAGCTGAAAGCCACGTTCCTTGCCACTGCTTTTCATTTACAAGGGAAGCCATCAACCAGAGAGAGAATGGCCCCAGCCAAAGCTATGGTGCTTCCCGAGGCTCTGATTTGAATGTGTGCTCATCGGAGCGTGGCTGCCGTGGGAAGGCTGCGTCAGTGCAGTGCATGGCAGCCCTGGGCCCCACTCCCAGCACTCTGCCATGACCCCACACCTCAGGGCTGTGCTGGGGCCACTCGCAATTTTGCCCTGTAGACAGACCTTGGATGTGCTGGGTGTGAAATGTGGGCCGATTCTGTGCAACTGTTTGCATTGCTTGAACAGAAGAAAGCATCCCAGGTTACCCCTGGCAGCACCTGTCCCCATGCTGACCCTGGGACACGGTTGGGTGAGCCACTCTCAGGGAGATTAAAGATCTTTCTGGTGACTAATCCACGCTCTGGATGTCACCACCACCTCCAGGAGATCTCGCTTTTCCTCTTTCCACCACGCTTTCCCTTTGAACCCCTCTAATGATTAGGTGTGTCCAGCAAGTGCTGCTGTAAGGACCTCTCCTCGTGTAGCCTGACCCCCATCTTGGGATGCTCTGATGCAGGTGAGACAGCCAGGAGCACAGAGAGGGCAGTGAGAACCCGACTACAAGAAGTGTTTGCAGGGTGAGACAGCAAAGTGCTGACTGAGAGCACTGCTGTGTGCTGGGAGTTCCCCTGAGTGAGAGCACAAGAAAAAAAGGGAACGGGTACTGAAACAAACAACAACAACAACAACAAAAAAGGGCAAGTTCAAACAGAAGAAAAGAAATAATTTGTTGTATGCAGATTCAGCTGTGGAACTCAATATTGCAGGATGTTACCGGGACGACTGGGTGAGTTTTGCAGGATAAGTGGGTTGGAAGTCATGGAGAGCAGGAATGTTGGGTCCCGTGTGGGTCAGTGCTGGTGGAGGGATGCAGTCTGGCTGCGGGGTGTCAGCAGATTTCTGGGCTGTGTGGTGATGGGACCTCCAGGCTCTGATGGCCCTGCTGCTATCAGGGGTTTCCTGTAAGGTCAGGCATTGCTCGTACCCCCAGGCAGGATGCAGCAGTGAAAATCATCATGAGCGTTGAAGACTCTTTAAATAAAGGAAGAGCCCCAGTGTGACCAACTGCCATGTGACTGTGCCCATAGAAAATTGAGCTGCTTCAAATCCAATGAGTCACAAGGTCAGCAAGAGGTGCCCCTGTGCAAAAATACCCTATGGAACAGTTTAGTCCTTGTGGAGCAGGCAGGGATGGGGGGAGCTGCAGGGAGAAGTGCTGTCCCCCATCCCATGAGCTGAAATGGAAAAGGGCCATCTGGGTGTTCCAGGCTGTAACCACAGCCCTGCTGGCAGCAGATGTGCAGGGAGGTCACAGTTCTTTGCTCCTGATGTAATGAATGATGAGTTCAGGGCTGCAGCTCCCAGCAGGGCGGGTGGCCGGGCTTTAGCATGGGAGAAGCCCCAGGTAGCAGCAGGGAGGGAGTGCTGTGTGATGCACGTGGCTTTGGAGATAAGGGTGGGAGAGCAGCCCAATGGAAGGATTCTTGAAGAAACAGCTCCTTAAAGAACCACTGCCTGTGTGAGCAATGCACCCCATGCACTGCACCACGGTCAGTTTCAGCACACGGGGAGAAAGTGCTCTGGGGCCAAATGCAGCTCTGGTCAGAGAAAGCGAGGCTTCCTGCATGCAATCTGTCTGCATTTGGAGCCCTGCTGTCCTGAGCACGCAGCAGGTTGCAGGATTGCAGCATTGCAGGAGCTGGAACTCGAGCCGAGCAGCTCATCTCTGCCCAAGGCTGTGCTTAAAGCCCAGCACCTCTGGGCTCTGTGCTGCAGCCATGGGTTCCGGGCAGCACTGCGTTGTGATGCTGTGGTTTAACCCTCTCCTGAGGCAGACACACAGAAATGAACACACACGGTTTCAGTAACAGCATTTGGGCAATCTTCTGTAACATGGCAAGGGGGGGGGGGAACCTTTTGTTCTAAAAGTAACCTTGGACATAGGAAGTGCTTGGGGTGAGGCAATGTGTTGACTTAACAACACTTCACAAAACAAGCATATAAGTACACGGGGAGGTGGGATTTTAATGCCTAGCACTGCATCCTCAGACTAATCTTGCCTTAAAATGTGTGAAGACAACCCCTCCCCCAGATGCACCAGCAGTGAGGTGCACGGAGCTGCAGGCTGGGGCTGCGTGCTGCCCAGGACAAGGCTGGCTGTGCCATACGGGGCTCTGCAGACCCTCCCTGGGGGTGCTTTGTGTTAACTCCCGATCCTGGTGCCCCCCTTTCAGCTGTGCTGAGCCTCTCCCCTGCTATGTGCACAAAGCAGAATCTGGGGGCACCTCCAGACTGCTGAGAAAACGTGTGAGCAGACCCAAGCGTGCCTCGCTGGGCTGACAGGACCTGGATCTAAAGATGCACAAGTTTGGGAAATTCACCACCAGAGATGCTTTCCTCCATTCTCGTGTTTGCTCACGGCAGCAGCGTTTTCCTTCCTGCACCGTAAGAAAGGTTCGGTAAAGCAGTGACGGTGCGCCGGGTGATTTGGAGCTGACTGTGGGACAGGACCCCGCCGCGCACCTGCCGTCTTCTCTCTCACCGAACCCATTCGCTCCTTTGTGCAGCGGCCGGAGCAGCTCCGGGAGAGCCCGGAGAAAGGGGGGGGGGACGGAGGCTGCTGAGTTTCGGGCGCTCGGAGCCGCGTTCCCACGCGGAGCCCCGGATCCGACCCCCGAGATCGCCGCAGGTCTGGAGGAGCGGCCACCTCCCTGCGCACCCACTCGCATCCCCGGACACCCGCGGCCCCGCACTCACATCCGGGGCCGGCTTTACTAATGGGAGACGTAATTAACCCGGAAAAAAAGCGACGGCTGAGCCGCGGGCACACCCCCTCCGCGCCCAGCCCTCCTCCGCGGCTCCTTTCGGCGTGCGCGCAGCCCCAAGCCCGGCCATGCGCGGGGCCGACAGCACAGCGGCGGTGCGGGGTGAGTGCGGGGCTGAGGGGTCACGCTTCGTCCGCGGAGCTTCACCCCACGCGCGGATGGAGGAGGAGGGGGGATCCCAGTCCTTTCGCTTCCCCCGAGCCCTCGGTGCTGCGCTCTCGGCTCTGCGCGCAGTGGAGCCGCCTCCGCTGTTCGCCCCGTCGGTCCTTGAGTGGGGAGGGGGCTGAAATCTCCTCGCAGCGGTTGGGAGCATCGGACAGGAGAGCCGTGCAGGGCTTTGCGGTGGCGGTGCACGTCAGTGCTCGCAGCGAGGGGTGGTGCGGGGTGGGCTGGAGGCAGAGCGGGGTTTGGGGCGCTCGGGATGCGGGGCTGCGCTGGGCGGAGCTGGGAGCAAAAGCGCAGCGAGGATTTGCGCTCCGCGGCTGTTGGAAGTGCGTTCTTCCGACAGAGTTTTTCGGTATGATGATGAAGTGTATTTTCTTTGCTTCGTGTCTGCGTGTCCTCGTACTCCAGCCGGTTAATTACTTCATTAAGGCACATGCTTGCGCCTAGCAGGAGTTGCTGGGCTCTTCCTGCACCGTCTCTGCGATGTGTCAGCTGCCAGAGAGGTGTTGGTAGGGCGAGAGCTCTGCTTCAGGTAGGAGGAAGTAACGCTGTCACCGCTGCGGGCGCCGCGTGGGGCCCTCGTGACATTCAGCGTCCCGTGTCTCGGATGGCACCGGGACACCAAAGACGGGACGGGAGCGAAATGGGGACGCCGTGACTGCAGATGCGATGGGTTGCAAAGCAGGGAAGGGTGCCGGGGGTCTGCGTGCAGCCAACGCTGCCGAGGTGCAGAGTGCGGGGCTGCTGGGGGGTCCCTGCAGCGCAGTGATCGTGGCTCCTCACTGAGCACCGGGAGCAGAAGAGGAGGGGACGCAGCAAAGTGCTGCTATCGTGGGATGCTTCCTGCAAAGTCTGGTGCTGCAGCTGCACGTGAGGTCCTGGAGCCATCGGGAAGCACGGGGGGGGGGGGGGGGGGGGCGGTGTTGCACATCCCCAGAGATGCTGATTTTCTGTGTGGTCCTTCATGTGTTCAGTCCCACTTATTCTCCACCTTCCAGATTTAGTCTTGTGGCCTTCCTATAGCAAACGTGTGCAAATATTTACGGCTCTGGATTTACAGAGTGCCGTGTAAATAGTAAACGTTTAGTGCAAAATGAACCCCTTCCTGAACAGCAGGACCAAATGCCCGCAGGCTGACAGAGCCGGAGCTGCTGCTTTCATCATTTTCCTATGTAAAAGTGAAATTGGGGTGGCTGTGAGCAGGCGGTGATGGTGGAGTGCTGAGAGCTGGGAGCAACGGGGCTCCCAAAGAGGGTGGGGAAGGGTGGGGACGGCTCCTGCCCTCAAAGAGGGAATCCAGCGCTGTCCCGAAGGCAGTTTGGAGAGATCGTTATCTCCTCTCCTCGATGGGTTTTGCATATCCAGGTGCAACCCGAGGTCAGCTCGTGGAAGAGCTGAGCTGTTTGCATGCTCTGTTAATGCGGGATGGCAAAAGGGAGAGGTGAGGAGCTGCAGTGTGTGTCCTGGGGGAAGGGGGGGGAGGAACTGGGTAATAATCCCCAAACCGACCCCAAAAGCCACAGGAGTGCTTTGCCGTAGCCCAGTCCCTTCCAATTTTGTAGGAAACGAATTTTTGCTCGCTGCAGGAGGTGATTCAGGAAGCTCTGTCTGCTCGTTTGGGTGCCGCTGAAGTCGCTTGGGAATCTGTTTCATGTGCACTCCCTGACCCCACAAAAATAAACCCACACACACACACAAAAAAAAAGAGGCAGTGAAATGTGAAGCACCCACACGTCCTTTGTGTCGGGGCAGATGTGCTGTTTTGAAGCAGCCCTCCCCACTGAAGCAGCACCGTTTCCCCCAGCAGAGCTGTGATACCCATCTCCTGTGCGCTGATGTGGGGCTCTGAGGTCTGGGGTCAGGCTGTCACCTTTACTCCCACCTCTGCTCCACAGCTGCACCGCAGCTCTTGCACAATGCTTGCCACTCCGCTGCAGCTATTGGGCTC